ATTTATTATTTAATATATGCAACATTATAAACCCCACTTTTTCTCTCCATGCATAAAACTCTGACAGAGATGGGCAGTGTCATTTCCTGGCGCCTGAGGAGGAATTCAGGTTCAGGATTGTCGCTTCACCTCCACCGAAGGTTGCTGCTCTTGCATCCGGCTGGAGGCTGAGTCGAAAGAGAGGGGGGTGGAAAATCTGGTGGCATACATTTCTCGAGTGTCCTTGTGGCGGGCAACAAACGCCAACGACTTGTGGCTCCTTATGCACAGACGCAGAGTGCGTGTCCTTGCAGAAAATTCAGCAGGCCAGAGACAACGTCGAGGACGAAATGCAACAATAATGGCAAAAACAACATTAGCAACAACAAAGCAGAAGAAGAAACCCGGACAAACACTCCACAAATTGCAACACTCGACCAATGAAAGGGAAAGAAAAAGGATACTTGGTTTCATGAGACTTTCATTTAGTAAAAGTATATTTAAAACAAAATTAATAGACAAATATTTAAAGACATATTAATCATCTATAGCTAATATATATCATCAGAAATATTACAAAATAGCTTTGTAATATTGTAGATTTATCACCAAAAACCCCTCTTATATTTTCCTATTAAATAAACTAATTATTGTTCATTTATTCAACCCATTTCCGGTTTAATAGTAAGGGTATTTCCGGAATCATTTTACCCCTCAGTCTGCTAAACATTTTTAACTTTGTTTTCATACTGTTTCTGTATTTTTTTTTTGTTTGCGGCAGTAACTTGAGTCTGAAGATGAGGCTGAGGATGCAAAGGGATGCAAGCCAAGGCAATGCCAAAACTACGTACTTGGGCCCACTTTCAACCCCTTACAACCCCAGTTTTTCCTTCTCTCTTTGTTTTTTTTTTGGAGAAGGCCAAGCGCGAGCTGCTTGAGAAATATGCATAGTTCAAAGTGCAAAAAGGGTGAAACCGTACAAAAAATCAAAATGCAAGAAATATACACCAAAAAAACACACACACGCAAAAAGCGGCATTACGTATACGCCATGTTGTCAGCAATTAAAGGCGAACTTTAGCGAGTTGCAGCTGTTGTTACATGTTGCTGTTGTTGTTGTTGCATGTTGCTGTTGTTGTTGTTGTTGTTGTTGTTGTTGTTGTTGCAGTTGCAGCTGTTTTGTCGCTGTCCTTGAGCGCCTTCTAATTGAGGGCACTGCACTCGCTTTTTGCGGTGACCCCAAAGGCACCACCCTATTTTGTACCCTTTCGTTTGTGGGCTTTGTTTTTGGCTTAAATGCTGTTTAACTGTCCACAGAGCCTTGCTACCCCATAGATGTTTTTTTTTTTTTACAAATGTGGGCATAAGAAAATAAGTTTGCAAATAGTTTTTAATAGATAATATTATAAGGAATTCCATGTAAGGTATTCTTAGTAGAAAAAGGTATAAAAAAATAAGCCTCTGGAGATAATAAATATTTACTTTGATCCTATTTTTATTTTAGATATTTAGAGATTGATCCTTTATTTCTGCTATGTTTAAAAAAGAAGCTTAATTAGCAGTTACTTAGGAAATTCCTCGACAAATATTGCCATAAATAATTTAAGTAAATAATTTTATTTGTATTTATTTGAGAAGTATTTTAAGATAACATATTTTCCTCTATTTCTTGATATATAAAATTCAAATGCTTACACTTTATGTATTATATTTATTTTAAAATATTTTAAGCTAAAGTACTTTTCTTTTTTTTTTTAAATATATAATTCAACTGCTTCCTCTTTATGTATTGTATTTATTTCTTAAATATACAATTCAAATCTTTCCTCTTTAAGCTCGTGTAACTAAAATTCGGACCTTGCTTGTATGTTTTTTTCGCGAGGATTGTTATATTTCTTAGTGTGCGTTAAGGGCAGATGTAAGTGTGTTTGTGTGTGTGTATATGTGTTTCTTTGTGTGTGTGTGTGTGTGTGTGCTTGCTTCCGTTGGGGGTGCAAAATGCAAATGAATCAAATTTCTTCCATGTGTCCCGCCTTTGCATTTGTGTATTTGTGTTTTTGTTTGTTTGTTTATTTGCACGGAACAGTGCACTTGCAACTGTATGCACCTTATACACACACAAACACAGACACACACACATACACCAAAGCACTCGGAAACACACACCCATAAAAAGAACTCACACACAAGACACACGTTGCACACCTGAAAGTAGGTTAACTCGTTTTTACGGTTCAATTTTTTACAGTAATGCACGAAACGTGACGAGCAAAAAATGGGTAATAAGAAATATATGTATAATATATATATTTGTACATTTATAAACATATATTTTAAGGAAGATTTTTTTAGGATTACCATAAAGGCATGAAAAGTTCGATGGTTCGATGGCTTTGATTATTATTTAAATTGGAATAAGTAAATAATAATATTTGATTGAATTATTTACAAGTTAATCATTAAAAATATTTTAAGATATATTAATATATATGAAAACTCAAAAAAAACTGGATCGGTCAGTCACTTAGTCTTCTAAATACTTTCACTTGAATATATGTCAGAACAAGCCGGATCGAACGACTATATCATAAAGCTGCTAAAGAAACAATCGGAAAAACAAATTATAACTTTAAAACAAATTATAACTTTTCCAGTTTTCAACATATTTTCTTCTAATTCAAAGTAAAGCTATTTTGAATTATTTTATATATATTATATTTATTATATATATTTTATATTAAAATCGGATGACTACATCATATAGCTGCCATCGGAACCAACTTTCAATATAGAGAAAAAGGCAAAACTATTTGTGCGTGTGAGTGTAATATCCTCTATCTCAATGTCGCTCGCTCTCCCTCTCTCTCTCTCTCTCTCCCTTAATCTCTATTTAGTTCAGCATGTCTAACTCTCTCTAACTCTCTTCAACTCTCTCTGCCTTTCTCCAGCTCTATCCCTTTCTCTAGGGCTCTCGCTTACTCTCTTTCTCTTCTGCTCGGAGACTATAAATACCAGGCGCGGCCGCCGCCCGGACCTCAGTCTGTCCGTGGCCGTCCCAGTGTTAACATCTCTAGTGATAGTGATTAGTGATAACAGTGATAACGATGGCCCTTCTACCTCAGAAATATCATCTGGCCAATGGAATACTTGTGGATAAACAGGAAGAAGCTCATTTCGATGATGACACATAAAGCCTTATTAAAGTTACCAGGAATATGGATCTACACTGCAAGGAATTAAGGAATGACGAAAGAGATTAATTCCGGTAAGTCTTAATCATGACAATTATATCAATTATATATATAGATGGTATAGAAGTAATCAGGCTGAGATCTAGAAATAGCTTTGCATTCATTTTCCCAGTAATTTCCTTATTGCCACTAAAGTTAATATTTTAAATGATACAGCAAGCTGTATTAAATTTATCCACCAAAGTTATCTACTCAAAGTTAAACAGCCTAACTTAAGTATAAATTATTCACAAATATTGATTTCTAGTTTTAAAATTGATCCAACTTTTGTTAGCTTATTATTGCAAATTATAATTTAAACCAAACACTTTTCTTCTTCATTTCCATCTACACCTTTTTATTTAAGAAATTGTTCAGTTTTTTATGATTTGAAAGAATTCCCCATTAGGCTTATGTCTGCCAATTTTATGTTCTGTTGAAGATTCAGTTCAATAAACTAAACAAATGGCAAACATAAACATTTGAAATGTATGGATCATATTATGAAGACTATTAGATCATGGGCTTTTATTATTTTGTGATGCTAATTCCAGGGTCTTTAGTTGGATGATTTAATTCATAGTAAAGTAATAAGTATAAAGCTATAAGAATATAAATAATAGATTTATCATATAATTAAATTTCCCATAAAGTAATCAAATAATATTTGTTCTTATTTATTTTCGTAGCTCTCAAACGCTTTCCCCCGTGCACTTTAATTAAATTAATCAAACACACAAGTTTCGAGAGCAACAACTTTAGTTGGTTTGGAAAATGGAAAACTATATGGAAAATCTCTCCCCCTCTCTCTTGTTGCACTTTTGCGACCTTCTCCTCTTGCCTCCATTGAAAAAAACCCCAAAAAAAACCCCCCTTTTTGCTCGATATACCGGCTGCAAAAAGCAACTTGGAAATCGAGAAACTGGCACAAGTGGACACTGAAGAGCCATCGACAGGACTTTGGATGGGGATGCAAATTGCAGATGAGAATAAGAATGAGGACGTGGAAACGACCCCACCTGGACAAAGGGTCAAAGGCCACTGGGCAAACAATGGCAGGAGCAGGAGTAGCACTGCAGTAATAATCCAAAAGGCAAACACTCCTTTGTTTAAAAAGGACAAACAATATGAATACAGTTCTTAATATAGTCGTAACTGATACAAATTAAAAAAGGGGGCTTTGCAAAAATATATAATATAATTAAAATAATTATCTGATTAGGTATACTGTAGAAAATCCATCTTTTAATTTAAATTAAATTTCTGAGAGGGTGTATTTCTTGGAGAACTCTATTAATATATACAACTTAAAACTGTTTTTCAAAGCTTCATCTTTTACTGTTTTAAATATTGAAATGTTAGCTAAATATACTTAATATTATTATAATGAAACCCAAGAATTTGTTATAAATTTATTCATTTAAATATGATTTAAACCATATGAAAAATCATACATGGATGCAAAAATCGATTAAACATTTTATTGGATCATTATTTTACCTAAAGAGTTAAGGATTTAAAATCAAATAAAATATCAAAATCATGTTATGTAATATTTTAAATATAATTAAATACTAAATATAATAAATACTTTTAAGGGAAATTTTAAAAGGAAATTAAAAGTAAAAAAAGTATATCAAGTTCAGCCTCAAATTAACCTTATTAATATTAGAGCTATGAATATTCTTTTTATATGTCAATTCCCTCTTATATAATTTATTTATTTATATTTTTATTCAATATTTAATAAAAAATATGTATATTTTTTATTGTGTGCCCCCTTTTACTCACCTTGAGTTGAGATTTCCTCTTGAGGGCGGCAATTGAACGAGTTTGCTGTCGTAAAACCTCCAGGGCAGATGCAGAGGTCGAAAATTAAATTGAAAACTGATTCCGGCGAATAAAAAAAAATCTGAAACCAATGAAATGGAAAGCGTGAACTCGAAAACTCTCACGAAATACAAATTTTTGTTTTTGTTTTATTTTGCATATATTTTTTCCTTTTTTTTTTGATACTATATACTCTAGTGTTTTCAAAGTAAACACCATTTTCACAGAAGATAAAAATATAAAAATTATAAACACATTTTAAAGCAAATAAATAGTCATACAAAAATATATTACAAGAAATTTAAAAATTATATAAAATTTTTAAAATTAATAAAAGAAAACATTATTAAAAAGTACGTTTCATTTAAAACCCAAAACTTTTAAATTGTAATAATCGTATTTAAATTATTAATTTAAAGTTTAAAGTAATAATTTTATTTATTTTTATATGGCATTAAAATTATAATAAACTTCGTAATAACTTAAAAGGTAATCAAATATTTAAAATATTCAAAAATAGTGAGAGCATTTAAAAATGTTTTACAAATTTTAAAATTTTCGGTTTTTTTCTTTTAATTGTTTACGTTTGCTTGAGAGGGAACGGCGTGAAAAAAGATGAAAAACATTTTGTATTTTCGAATTATAAATAATTTAGCCAACGAGCATCGCTTTCAATATTTTCCCATTTAATATTCATTGATTGCTTTGTTTTGGCTCTAATTGCACGTTTTGACTGACTTATTGTGTGGGTGCGATATGCTTTAGCGTTTATTTCATTTTCGCAATATTTCAGAATAATTATGAATAATTTTCTTTCACTTTTACGAATATAACCTTGCGCAATTTAAAAACGAATTTAAAGGGAAACAGAACACACACACACCGAAGGGATTGCATTTTATACTGCATATTTCCGTTACGTGCTGAGCAACCGGAAGTGCACACACACACATAAACTAACAAATACACTCAAGTGCAGGGGGAGTTATTTTTTTTCCTTTTTTGTCGATGTAGTTTGGTAACTTTTTTAAGGGGGGTGTTTGACCCATAAATGAATTTATGCCAATTTAGAAAGCCAAATAGCAATTGGGGGCTCAGCGGGGGAGGAATTAAGAAAAGGGTGCTCAGGGCGGGGAGGGGGCGGGGGCGTTGGCTAACCAATTAAAACATGTTGTTTTTTTTTCCACATTTTCATGGGGAGGGTTGTTGTTATTTATTTTTGCTTGATATTTCCCCCGAGCTTGAGAACTTTGTTTTTGGCCAACATAACCGGATATATTTGTGCAATTATTTTAATGGCCTAGACACTAACACAAACACACGCACACACACACACACACACACAGAGTTGGGGAAAATATTCCCTGGACAAGCCCTTTTTTCTTTTGAAATTTACTTTTTCGTTTGCTTAACAACTTTTTCCTTTTTTTCTCACTTTTGATAATGGGAAATATATATATATTTTTTTTTTGGTTTTACTATTTCTATTAGATTTCCCGTGGGCGCGTCGCTGCTGCTTTGCCGATTTTTCCGAGTTTTCCGTGCGCCTTGGCCAGCAGTCGACTTGCAACTGAGCGAGTGAAAAACTCGAAACAGCTGAAAAACTGCAAGGACTCCCGACCCCTGGATCCGATCCCAAAAGAAAAAAAAAATAATAAAATACGAATCTTGCAGCCCCAGACGAACTCTGAACCGAGTACGAGTATAGATGGGGATAGCGGGCAAAAAGGGGCGGGAGGGGATGTCCCATTGATGGTGGCCCCAAAAACTCAATGAATGCGCCAAGCCGGCTGCAGGCAACGCAAGGCGCATGTGTCCTGTAGTAAAAACGGCAGCAAGGATAATGAACTCTCTGCCAAGTGCAGGTCGCTGCTAGGGCCTTTAATAGGAGGGGGGGGGGGAAGTTTAATAAATGGGACATTCTTACGTTCTTCCAAAATTAATCCAGGTCAGTATTTTGCAATTTTAGCTTATATTTGAAATAAAGTTTTAACCAGTTTGTAGCATTTGCCTTGATTTTCAAAATGCGCGCCAAAATAAATACCATACTAACCAGCACATACTAGTTCATTAACCAACACTGTAAACTTCCAATTATCGGCAGTCTGGCTACGCTGGTGGCACTTCCAATGTTTTCGATTACTAGACAATCGATAACGAGAGTGAATTCTTTTAATTTACGCTGTTAATGAATTTTACTTCCTTCATGTAAAATGAATTTCTAGATTTGTAAGATATAAAATGTTAATTAACAGCTCCGGTATTAAGATTGACGAGAAAAAAATATCACAAAATACTAAAACAAATATATAATATATTATAATAAGAGCAGGTCTGTTAAAAAATTTTACATAATACATAAGATTCAACTTCCTACATGTGAATTAGATCCTAAACTCGAGAATTCGACCCCATGTAAACGTGTAAAATAATTCTTTAGACATGTAAGATGTAAAATGTTAAATAACAGCAGTTTTTCAAAACAAATGCTATCATCGAAAAAAAAAAAAAAAAAAAAGCGACGAAAAATTTGTTAGGAAAAAAACTAATTTTGCCGGTGAAAAATTGAACCAAATGTGAATTAAAAGTGAGTAAAGCGACAAGAACAACCCAATTCCCCAATTGGATAATGAAAAGACACGTTTGCAGCTACCGAAATGACACAATTCGTACATAAATGAAGCAATAACAATTAAGCAAAATTAGCAGGGGGCTGATGCTCCCTGGGGAATTTCCATGATGCCAAGTGACAATTGCGACTCGGAGGACGAATGCATGGAAGTCAATACGATTCGGATCCTGCGCTGCAGCGTGGCCAGGTGCCCCTACAGGACAAACAGGGCCCACAACCTGTGGCGTCACGAGGAGCGCCACAAGCGTCCGGTGGAACCGAAGCCATTTGGCTGTCCCGTCTGCATCTACAACACCGATAAGATCACCAACCTAAAGCGGCATGTGGCCATCCGACATCCCAAAGAGGTCGTAGTCCCAAAGACTCCGGATGAGCCGGACACCCAGCTGAAGTCGGCCGCAGGAACCCGCAGGATCCGCTGCCAGGTGATGGGCTGCCGGTACGAAACGAATCGAGCCCATGACCTGAAACGCCACATGGCGGTGCACAACAATGTTGAGAAGAGCCACAAGGAGTACAAGTGTTCCCTGTGCATGTACAGCTCGGATAGGAAGGCCAACCTCAAGCGGCACCTGGAACTGCGACACTCTGGCATCGAGGAAACCATTCAGACGGCCGACGAGCTGGAGCAGGAGCTACACAGCCTGGAGGAGGAGAAGAGGCTGGAAGAGCTGGCGCAGCAGGATGAGCTGTTCAACGACTTGATAGAGAACCTTGACGAGGTGGAGCTCGAAATCGAGAGGAAGGAAACGGCGGAGGAGCAAGTGCTCGATCAGCTGGCTGAGGAGCAGGAGGAGGAAGAACCTCCTCTGATCACAATATCCACCTGCAAGCCTCCGATGCTCCAAGGAGACATAACCGACAAGCAAGTGATTGTAAGTTAACCAATTTTACGTTTATTCTGTCACACTCTCTCTAACCATTCACGTCTTTCGTCAGGCTGTCAACGTGAATGGCCAGCTGCGTTGGTTCCAATCAATCGATCCGCCGCCTGGCGCATCCTTAAAACTGCAACTGGCCCTTGAGGAGCAGGAACAGCAGGCTGCTTCCGCCCAGCAGCAAATGGATGAGCTGGACGATGAGTTGGCCTTATCCCTGGCCCAGCAGGACCAAGAAGAGGAACTGCTTGTAGAAATGTTAACCAAAGAGGAGCCGTCGGATAATGATGTATCCTGGACTTTTCACATTTCAAACGACAAATTGATAGTTGCCAGTCGAAAATGTAAGCAGGAGATGCTGGAGCCATGCGAAGAGCTCGATTTCCCCATTTGGTGGGACGATGGCGATTACACAAAAATGCACAAAAACCAAACGTTTCGGGATTGCCAGCAAAAGCCCTCAAAGGCTGTTGTGCAACGCATACTGCGCGACATTTATGACATATACTACAAGCCGTTTAAGGAGAAGCGCAAGCAGTTCCAGGTGTTCCGGATTAAGGACTCGTGGCTATGCGCTACACAGATGACACGCATGCAGATAATAAAGGACATGTACTCGAAGCAGGGCACATGAAGTTTAAATTATAGTCTAAGCTAAGCAACAAAAGGTATTTCATTTATTTTGATGAAAAAGCAGACAGTAAAATTCCATTTAAGAAATTTTAAAATCTAACATTTTTTTTAACACCTTTCAGGCCTGACAAATGAAGAACAATTTACTGGCACAATTGTAATCATGCATTTCACCATCATCAAGGGCGACGCAGTCCTCATTAAATAAGTTTGGCTGGTTTTTGCCCCACTTGATAAAGGGCGGTCTTGTCCCGGTGGCCGAAGATGTGTACTCCGACTTATTGGCCATATTGTGGATGTCCAGCCAGAAGGCCAAATTGGCCTGTTTATTTACCATAGCCGCAATAGCCCTCCGCTCCTCCTCGTTCTCTATGATAGCAAGCTGACCGCCCATCCGGCGACAAGTATCCGAGGCAGAAAACCAATTCTTTTGGAAAAGCCTCTCGATGTAGAAAAACCTGTTTGCGATCTTTTGGAAGTTTACTGGAATTGACTTGGATACCGTGGAATTCTGAAGGCTAGAGAGTTTTCCCTGAAGATCTTTTATCTGGGTTTCCAGTGCACTCTTCAGGTCTTCGAAAATCTGCCGCGGCTCAGCGATTTTTTCAATCAGTTCCTGCTGCCAAAGTTTCTGTTGGCTTTCCATTCTATCAGTTTGCACCAGTTCTCCGAAATGGTCCTTTCCAACTTATTGAGGGTTTGATTTCCGTTAGAAATTAGAATATCTTGTTGATTTCCATATGTTGAGTCTCGCTTCATATCCTGCGTTGGTTGCATGGTTGCCCTTACAGTTTTCTCAAAGGCCAACTGCATGCCTTCAATCCTGTCCAGCTTCGATTGCGTTTCATTTAAACCTAAAGAATCAGAGATACTCCACTGGTCTTGGTGTTTAGCAATGTGATCGAGCAATGGCTTTAGTACGGACAGACAGAAGGATCCGCACTGGTTTTTTGGATCCTCCAGTAGACATACAGATCCTTCAGGGGATTGTGCTACCACATACAAAGGAATAAGCGCAAATATAAAGAAAGCTGCTGATTTAGACATGTCAGCGAGATTATCACCACGTAAGGCAAATGATTCGATTAAACTGATCTGTATTATTCAATGAACTTTCGACCAGATAAGGCAATTGATTTGATTAAACAGATCTATATTATTAAAAAATATCGCTAATAATAAGATCGTACAAAAAATCATTAAATTGCAACATAAAATACTACTATAAATAAATAATTTAATCATTGTTTTTAACATATCATTAAAGTATGTTAATTTGTTATGGCGGTAGGATGTACCTATCACTGCTGTGTAACTTAAAGATAGAAAAAAAAAACGTAATTATATTATATATTTTTATTACACAGTTTGTATACAATTCCTTTAAATATTTAAGTTTTTATTCCCTTGCAGGGTATTATAATTCTAGTCAGAAATTTGCACGCAGTGAAGGAGTCATCTCCGACATATAAAGTATATATATTCTTGATCAACATCAACAGCCGAGTAGATCTAGCCAAAATGTTGTGAAAATCTGACTACTATATCATATAGCTGCCATAGGAACGATCAGGAAATTAATTCAATTAAAAATTATAACTTTCAGTTTTCAAAATTTTTCATATAATTTAAGATATAGCTATTTTTTATTTTTCTAAAATTTCGGTTAGAATTTTTTTAATCTGGAAACTATATCATATATCTGCGATAGGAACGATCAGGAAATTAATACAATTAAAAATTATACCTGTTTCAGTTTTCAACAGATTTCAGATAATTTAAGATATACTATTTTGTAATGTTCTAAAATTTCGGTTAGAATTTTTTTAAACGGGAAACTATATTATATTGCTGCGATAGGAACGATCAGAAAATTGATACAATTAAAAATTATACCAGTTTCAGTTTTCAACAGATTTTCATATAATTTAAGATATAGCTATTTTGTGATTTTCTAGAATTTCGGTTTGATTTTTTTTAAATCGGGAAACTATATCATATAGTTGCGATAGGAACGATCAGGAAATTAATACAATTAAAAATTATACCAGTTTCAGTTTTGAACAGATTTTCAGATAATTTAAGATATAGCTATTTTGTGATTTTCTAGAAATTCGGTTAGAATTTTTTTTTAAATCGGGAAACTATATCATATAGCTGCGATAGGAACGATCAGGAAATTAATAAAATTAAAAATTCTTACTGTTTCAGTTTCCAACAGATTTTCATAAAATTTAAGATATAGCTATTTTGTATTTTTCTAGAATTTCGGTTTGATTTTATTTTAATCGGGAAACTATATCATATAGCTGTGATCGGAACGATCAAGAAAATAATACAATATTTTATTTTTATATTGTAATATTGAATATTTTAAAATTATATTTTAAAATTTTTAATATGAATATTTTTTCTTAATTGTACTAAGATTGAATACAATTTTATGTACGTGATTACATTTTCATTTTAGATATTTATGAAAACACCAAGCTACATATTAACATATCAACAAATATATAATCAAAAAAACTTTAATATGAAAATTAAGACAATAAACATTTTTCTTTCTGTATAGCTTATTTTTCTATAAAATATTAAATTTAAAAATACAAATTATGCCAATTAAAAGCATTGATGACATAGAAAAGATCAATAAACATTCATTAAACTTATTTTTAATGTTTTAGACTATTAACTTTAGTGTGACCAGTTCCCATGGAAGGTTGAAATCCATATTTTTCCAACCATTTAATGCGATATTCTATCTCCATATTTTGGTTAATTTTATGTTTTTCGACGCAGCTACACTAATCGCCAAAGTAAATTTTTTAGCAGCGTTGCAGATTTTTTTGCATTTTAATTTTAATTATTTTTACTGAGAAAAAAGAATGCTTTCTAACTAGTTGTACGCGAAACCCCAGTGAAGTGGTCAATTGTTCAAGTTGGCGTATTGAGGGCAAAGTTGAGAATCGAGTGCAGACGTTGCAAAAACAAAGGACGCAGCCGGAAAAGTGCGAAAACAGACGCCGCTGGTGAGTCGTAATTTATGTTTATTTTATGCCAAAGTGCTGGGATATAAGTGAAGATGTCTAGATAACGCAGAATGCATTGATTTCCTTTTGTTTATTTAATGACTGGCTGACTCTTCTCTTCCCTTACTCATTTTCCTTTTGTTTGACTTTTTGGCGCAATATCACTCGCCACGCCGGTGCTCTCTAGAGATGGCAAAAGAATAAAATAAACTCTGATCGATGTGGAAAATTAAATTGAATTAAAAATGTCGTACTAGTTTAGTGAGAGTACGATTAAATCAATTTAATACAAGACTGTTTTATTATTATTTATTTATATATTGTAAAATTGATTAATTTTACACTGCGACTCATACGAATGGTCTTGTAAAATAGTTCGGGAGCAAAGTCTTTATTTTAAATGAATTATTTTAAGAGAAAATTGTTTATTTTTATTAATTTTTTTGCGAAAAGAAATATCGGTGGGTTCGATAGTTAGTTGTCGTCCACTTGTCACTAACGCGTCTTGTCGTGTGCCACGCGCCGTGGCAACCCTGTTGCTTGGCTCTAAAAAACAAATTCGTGGAAGAATTTTGGATTTAAAGTTTAAGCATTTAATTGTGTGTGATTTTAAACAAAAGAAGGTGAGTTACTTGCCCTTGCGATCAGCAAACGCATGCTACCATTGTTTGAGGTTAGGGCGAGCTGATTGCAGAATGCAATTATTGCTGATGGCGTTGAAAACAAATTAAACAAATTCTTTTTGCACAAGAACAATCATGGCCTGGGTACCGAGCTCTCGATTTGAGGATGAGCTGGTGGATATGGAACCGGACTTCAATCTGATCCATGGCCAGCTGGACTACGAGGAGCGACGAAAAAAAGAGTTCGTTCCCCGGCCCAAGAACACCTACGAGTATCTGGCGGCGCGTGAGAAACGGAACGCACAGTTGGACGGCATGAAAGACAGCAGATCCGCAGAGGGCGGTAAGGCCGGGAAATCCGTCACAGCCTGGAGATGATGGAGCGAATCCAGCGGATAGCTGGCACCAAGCCTCTGGCGGGCATGCAACGATGGCGGACTGGGAGGACACTAGCACAGTTGAGTTGGAGGCTGTGGCCATGATGCGGCACTTCGGAATGATGTCCATGGCCGGGGACTTTTTACCAACTGAATCACTGTATGAGGAGGACACCGCCGAGAGATGCGGCGCCAGCGGATAGCTGGCACCAAGCCTCTGGGCGAGCATGCAACGATGGCGGACTGGAGGACACTAGCACAGTTGAGTTGGAGGCTGTGGCCATGATGCGGCACTTCGGCACATGGGGACTTTTACCAACTGAATCACTATGAGGAGGACACCGCCGAGAGCCGCCAGGCGGTGCAAGAACCATTGCTGGTCTCACGAAACGGTTACCGCACCTTTCCGCTTATAACGGATCCCAACTTTTATACCCGAAAGACGCGTAGACCAAAGAACACCTCCTCTGAGGGCAATGATACTACAGCTTCTTATCACACAGCAGAAAGTTCTGAGGGCAATGATACTACAGCTTCTTATCACACAGCAGAAAGTTGGACCAGCTCCAGTAGTGTGTACGGATCAGCTAAATCAGATTCAGAAAGCAATTGTAGCAATGTAGAAGTCCCCAAAAAGGTGGACAAGTATATGAGATACCGTACCAACTCCTAGAG